TTGGAAGTTTATTCAACAAGGTGACTAGGAATTTCGTGATCCCAGGTTCCTCAAAGGTGTTCAAACGATACGTAGCTGCAGCATTGTCCAAAGCCTCAATCTCCTAGTTCTTTGAAATTAACCGTTCTGTTCTTCTCGGGTGCATTGGGTTGATTGAACTTATTTGTTGCTATATACGAATGTTTGTGTTTTGTGTTTCGTTTTCTTGTTGCTTCTTGTGGTAATTTTCTGGCTTTTCTTGCGTTTGCCTTAGCAACGTAATAAACATAACATAACATACTATTGTGAGTTCTGCTAAGCTTTGGCTGGTGAGCCATTAAAAAGGCGAGGGCAAGTGGGATCTCGGTTAAGGTATGAAGAGCACGACCTCCGGGACGCACAAGGTCAAAGTTTTGCTCGGAAATTTAACTAACCTTGTGAGAGAACTGTGAAGGGTGTTACAATCTCTGCTGTTGTTGTGTAGCAATTTCATATATGGTATGAAAAGCAAAGCAGTACGAGGAAGGTAGGGATCCATATCTTTGAAAAAGTATTTTGTTGATGAAGAAATAGGGGAATGAAATGATTGATAAAGGCTTTCTCAAGTAGGAACGGTCGCTGTTCACATATGGGACTAATTTATGGTTTTCAGAGCCGTGCTTGGAGGATTGTGTTGAAGAAGCAAACAGGAAGCTCACCATCTGAACCTCATTACTTCGTCGTCATTCATGTAAAAGGTCAATATTTAGAAAAGCTAGAGAACGGCGTTTTCAACTGTCAGTCAAGTGCTGTTCTTGACGGCTGAACCATGGTTCGCACAGACGCTTCGGTAGAGTTCGTATTACTTTACTTACTTCTTCCAAGTCATAATCGAAGCCAGAGAGTGTTTGAAGCAAATTAGGACATAGACCTCCCTATCGATCAATTTCTATATTTGACATGCAGCCCAATCACATTGGAAATTCATAGCATTTTGATGCTTATTTGAACACACTACGATTGACGGGACGAATAGAACTATAACTCCATCTCATTCCCATCTTTTCAAAGAATGCTGATCCCATTTCACTCAAGGGCATTAAATAATAAAAATAAATAATTAATGTTAATCTAAGAGATCTATACCCGAGCAGTCAACTTCGCAATGACAGTAAGTGAGTAGTTACTCACGCTGGGAAAGGATGCAGCAGTTGCTGTATCATCTTTTTCCCTCCGGAGAGTAACTACTAACTATTCAGTTACTTAAAAAGGTAGTATTTTCTAGCCAGCGCTGACACCTGCATCTAGTCGAGTCAAGATATTTTTCCTCGGGAATCGAATGCCATGTTTAACCCGTTTAACTACTAATAAATACGAAAAATAGTTTTAAAATAAGGTGGAACCCCGTTTCATGAGAAAAGTGAGTACAGACTTCCAGATGGCGGCATAGCCTTTATAAGTCACTGAATTGCCAATATAACTTGTTAGTTAGCCCTTCGAGTCCATCGAGGGAATAATCGTTTTATAGAAAACGAAAACCTGACAACCGATCAGTGATCAGTAATAACCGTCCAGAACTATACATTAGTGGCAGTATTGTCTGCTACTAAAAGGCATGATTCTCTATTCGATCGAGCATTACATCATGTAAATCTTTTTTCAGGGATTTCATGAGACAACTAGTAAGTATTTCGTTAACAAATTGCAAAGCTCCCTCACATGGTCGTTGTAAGCAACCCTAGTAGTTTATTTTATTTTGAAAAAGATTCGAGAATCTCAAGATCGAGAAGATTCGATAAGGAATCACGAGCTCTGGCAGACTGAGCAACCCGAGTATGATCTCGAAATGGTACCCATTTTGGATGGTATGATGGTATGATCCTATTTCCCTTTTCGATACGGGAATTACAAGCCAACACTGTCGATAGGGACAAGTAATTTATCACAGAGTCAGCAGCTAATTTGTCGGAGCTATGTCTTCGCTGGTAAGTTTGACGGCTCCACTGACTAACAGTGGGACCGGCTGCCGACCAATGGGCTGCTTCGTTCAGAATTTCACTTTGTGCCGGAGCCGGCTGGTATACCGCAGAGACCGACGGCAGCGGCGTCTGGTGTGACTTTTTCGTCCCATATGCGTGGTTTCCGGACCGGGCCACATGTCTCGCATTTGTATTCCGTTATTATTAGACATATGTGCTCATCGGCAAACACAAGCCCGCGAACGTCTTCGGGCCCCATTAGTAACCCTAGGACTCCGGTCCTAGACCGTTTTCATGACCCGTGGCTTCCTTCAACTTATTCTTTCGAGCTAAACCAAATGAGTAACTGTATGGTATTGTAAGGAACGAATCTTTATGGAGAGTCTGGCGTGGTACCAGTCTTTTGATGCAGCTTTCTGTAGAACCAGTAGTAGAGTTGATGATCTTTGCCATATCGTCTACTTGACGTGTACTAGCCCTCTTTCCTCCACCAATCATCTTCCATTGAGGTGCTTCTGAAGAATCTGTGAGACCTTACCAATCTGATGTTACTTTTACTCTTTAGTGCTCTCATCGCTGTTATTTTGGGTAGTAGGAAAATGCTACGGTCATTGCATTTGTCTTCATTACGACCATTTCTTACCGAGCAAGTTTTCTGTTCTGACATCACTTGGAGATTCAGTACAGGGGATTCAGTTGAACTTGTATTAACGTTAGATATCTGGACAAGGTACCTCTTCATGAACCTGGCTCCAAATGTTTAAAACCTTGTATAAGTTCAATGAGTTCACTCCAACTCCTGAGCTTCATAGAGGTTGGTCCCTTCTCCGTGAAGAGCTTCTAAGATCTTCCATTTTACTCCTCTCAACGAATGTGAAGTATCTGAGTAAAATCAGCTTTACGATTTCAGTGAAGGGTAAAAACCCATTCAAACCCTGAGTTTTTGGCTCCGCTAAAGAGGAAGGAATATTGAAGCATTGTTTGAAGAAGCTCTTAATCCACTAGTTTTGATATGGAAACTTGGCGAAAAGCAAGAAAGATGTGTACAACGAAGGCAAATACCGCTGAAACGCTTGGTGTTCTTAACGATTAGCCCTCAGATTCCAACTTCTTCCGTTTACAAAATGGGGTTCGGTTGACATTAGATCCCTACATCTGGCGGAACGAAGGCAATAGCTTAGTTTCCTGCCAGTCCCTTCCATAAGCAACCATTTGAACTCGATTCTATCGTTAATATACTGAAGTAGCCAGTTAAGAAAGTCTTAAAACCACGTTTAACCATGAGCTTTTTTAAAGTTGCCCAATTTTTCTTTCAGAATATATCTTATAACAAAATGCCAGAGTTTGCCTTTTTTCGAGAGAAATGCGTTTATGCAGCGCCACTTCAACTGCGACTAACAAAACATAACTAGAAATCATCAATGGCTTTTTCATTTCTTCATTCGATTTCAAACATAGCAATTTAACCGCCGTCTAGTCATTCGCTCGACATCTCTCTCCGACCAATCGACCTGGTGGCACCGGTTTGCCGATCATCATTCTAACGCCTTCATCAAAAACATGCATTCAATGCTGCCCCTGCATGGAAAAGACCTGATATGAGGGAAAATCCGCCTCACGACTCCGTTTTTCTTCGAGTGTCCCTCTCTGCCACCTCCTTCCACATTACCGTCTCTACTGTGCCGTTCCAGATCATCTTCAATTTTGAATTTCAATTTTCTTGCTTTCTCACAGCTACACAGATCCATTTCTACCAGTTTTTCGAAAGCAACAGGATGATTTTGCTTCCTTTGTGCTTACTTCCAAGTACAATTACTTTTTCAATATTCCTTCGAGAAGGAATCAAAAAACCGCAAATAATGACTTTAAGGTATTTAACTAATTAATACTCAAATAAAGGAATCCTGCTGAACTTTCGAGAGGATGCGCCGATTTATTCGTGACCTTTGAGCAATTTCGTGAGCTCTAACGGTATTACCAAGAACCTGTATCAAGTATTGGCATAATATGGGGAACAATTGTTTTCTGGATTTTTGCCAGAAATTGCTAAACGTCAAACTGGCAGACGTCAGTTCTTAGAGCCTCTTTTTCAGGTGACTGAATATAGCAAAAGGTAGAAGAGAGGAGGGAATATAGTCACTTCTGAACGCTGTCAAATTCTGTAACATACGAGTACTCCTCCTTGAAGAGACTTCACTAACTACTTATGTCAACTAGTAACCATGTAAGGAAGACTTTTCTGGGAATTAAAATGTATAAAAGGGTTGTTCTACTAGTACCGTATNGCTTTCTCCTTTGTACTTTGAATGCCCCTTAATTTACAACATTTTTTTCTGGATTATTGCAGTCTCGTTCACAAACCTTTTTTTGAAGAATTGAAATTTCTGTTCCAAACCAATCTGTGGCGTATACTGTTCAGAAACTGTTGCTATCAGCACACATGCGTCCTTAAATTTTCTTTTTTCCCTTCCGATCTGGTCCCACGATACGTCACCCGCCATATTTTATGGATAACATATTATTCCATTATTACAATAATCATAAATTGTTTCCCGATATTACTAGATGTCCGATTCTATAATGTCCCGAACGTCGGCGCACCAGTCAGTCGCACGGGAAACTCCCTTCCTACAGCGGTCGGGGGGTGTTCAGGGCGGGGGTGAGAGGGCGGTAAGATTTGCGGTGAGATTAGTGGAAACCTGAGACGGGCCTAGTGGCGGATCGTTGGTTGATATCGTGAATTAAACTCGTCGACCTCATCCGGTTTCCTCATCCAGACTCTTCGGATGATATCGATTCCATTAGGTTGTCATCGTATTAGTGACTTAATCGATTATTTAATTAGACTGTTAAATGGGAGACTTTTCTGAGAGTGGCGAACTCATTTAGAATTGGTTCGTCTCCGCCATCTTTGATGCTCCAAGCTTGAAACGATTTTTCCTGCTATTTTGTCTGGTATTCTCATAGAAATTTGTTTATTTCCCATTATTAGGTGGTATTATTCCAAACCACTCTTCATTTATCGTTGAATTAGTTTCTCCAGGAGGAGAAGTAACAGGATCCAAATATCGTACTTTGTGTCCTGTGTCTCATTTTCCAGCCCCTGAATGAAGTAGTTTTTGAAATGTCAGAAACCATAATGGGAACTGCTGACCTTTATCACGTGGTATTGTCGACTGACATGTAATCACCTACGATTTAATTCATCGCTCATGCACCTATCAAGTATCTAGGGAATTTCAGTGGGGCAGTAGTATAAGTACTTTGAGGACTCTTTCAACCTGGTCAATCCTACTAAGGAGGTTCGTTCACCAATTATCCATCATAACCACAAAGTTTTACCTTTTTTTTGCCATTTTCCCGAATGAATACGTGCCTTGAAGTAGCTGATTTCACAGTTCCTGAGTCCGACGTTTTTCCGCATTACGGTAATGACGAGTCGCGCGAGAACAGGCTGTGTGAGTGCCAAGAAAGCGGGGCGGCATTGTGTTGATGAGCATGAGGCGGCCGTCCACAGCAAATCCAACCTAACACAATCGTATTATCATTTTCATCGGACATTCTTTAAATGGGCGGAGTGGGGAGTGGGGAAAAAGAAAGAAAAACGAAACGAGAGAGCGAACGCGCAGACGGAAAGCGCCAACAGAGCCGCGAGCGTGATTCGCGCGACCTGTTTTAGACTCGTTCCATCTGTACCTACTACCAAGAATATCGATTCGATTTATTACTATCGATCGATGATCATAACTTTTTATCGAAATTTCTCATGTGCTGAACACATTTCGTCATAGATCCCATCACAGTGCACGTCACAATGCTGCCAACATTTCCGCCGAAACCTATTGGTTACACTATTGCTTCATTTCGATTCAATGTGCCAGTGATTTCTGTTCTTTAGCAGTTGAACTAGTCTGTGCCCTATCATTTTGATAAATGTTGGAGCGATATGCGGGCGTAGGTTCCCAAAGACCTCATGTTACCTTACCCATCATTAATTTGTTGATGATTTTTGACTTACCAATGANGTGCTACTTGGTTCCCAATTTGATGCAACGGCGAATTTCCGATTGTCTCTCTGAAAGTCACCTCGAAAAGGGTCTCCTTGTCACCTCCGTAACTCATCAATTTGCTACGAGTATCGACGATGGCGTAGCGCCACTGTGACGAGCTGTCATCGGCGATCGGTGCATTCGAAGATTTACCGTTCAGGGAGGCAGCTACATCTCCATTTTTTTCTACTTCCGTTGTTTCCAACTACATAATTTTTATGCTGTTTCCAACCCCACTAGTCACAGTCTACCTATGCTCTTTTGGAGGCCTCCCATAAACATAAATGCCACACTCAAAAACTTATACAACCCTTTTCAACAGTAACCTTAAGAATCACTGGGTCGTCGTTACTGGTTTTATTACCCCCACCATCATTTCATAGATTCCATTTTTCCTCTCATACCGGTCTTCGTTTTGCGCGTGTTACACGTTTGCTTCACATTCACGTCTCTTGAAATTCGACCTGTTTCTGGATTCTTGCCAAGATCGTTCGTTCGTTTAACAATATCATTTTCTGATCAAGGGGTAAAAGTTTTGTCGGTCCATTCATGGGTGGATGCCATTCGATCGATTCATTTTAACTGTCATCGTGCAATTTATCAAATGGTCGTATCATGGGAATCACGAACATTAGTCATTCTGAACTACCTTCCAAAAAATTTGTATGATTCCTTTATTTGTCGGGCCATTAAGACAAAAGTTCGATGATGTAATGTTCCTTTAAAGGCGAATTTCTTTATTAGAAAAACTTCATCTTCGCCGAAACGTCTAGAACGTAAATAAGTGTGGATTACCATCAAATAACTGTAAATTATAGGTGAAAACCATTGTAATGTACTGTACGAATGAGGTAGAATTCACACGACTTGCATAACAAGTAAAACACTACTGGTTCTGTTCTCTCTCAGATCTTGTGACTTCTAATACTTGAGGATTACTCTTATGTCTTACTTCGAGACATTTTCTTTTGAAGAATCTGCATGACGCTCAAATTTTTATACAAGGTAAAAAGGTTTTTTTTTCAAGCTCATGGCGGACCGTGGTCGCCAACTAGGCCCACTTAAGTATTATCACCCGCGCTGAACGGGAGCTGATCCTTGGTGGTATAATTAGAACCGTAATCGTCGGATAAGATTTTGATATGATTTACTTGACACTTTCACGGTAGCTGTACTTCATCAGACTGTTACTCCTAGCCCTGAAGAATCAGTTCTATTAGAAAGAACTTCGTACGTTTCACTCTGGCATCCCGTAATGCTGACGTAAAGGGGAGAACTAGCCATTATTTCGTTGGAAAACGGCTTCCATCATATGAAATTCAGCAATAACGGTCTGAATGATAATGATTTGTTCGTGTCATAAAATTTCTTGTTTCCAATACTGTAGAAATGAGAAGTCTGCATTTGCAATAGCAGGGAATAAATCAACATGACACTTTCTACAATATT